CCCCTCACCCCCCACCCCTTACCGGTGTGTCCGCAATTTCGTCAGAGATTACAGTATGTGTTCAACTAGTTGGCACGCCTCCACTTAGTAAGAGGTTGACAACTGTCCACTTAAATAACATAAAACTAAACAGAAATCTCGTAATTCTTCTCTGAAAAGTTGCTTGAAAGTTCCCCTTTCCCTAGACAATGTTGCCAGAAATTTACGATCATTTTTGTTTACACCAAGCGGCATCGATAAAGGGGAGAAAAGGAGATTAATGGAAGTCATAAACAAAATTCATAAAGTTTCATAACATAATCGAAGTAAAGCGCGCGCTCTGATTGGTCAATTCAGCGTCCACCATTTACCCTTGGGTGTACGCTGCTGACGTCAGCTAATGCAAAGACTAGTTTTCCGCGCGCGCTTGTTTTTTCTGGTCGCGTTAAGATTTGTTGAAAATAAGAAAACTCTTCTCCTACAATGTATCGATGTTATGTTATAAAACAAATGGTAAACGTCACAGTGTACACTATTGAGTTATGGATACACTTGTGAGAGGTGCTAAGCACTCAAGAAGCTAGAGTCGCTCTCGGCTGTCGCCTCGCGCGACTCTTACGCTTAGCAACCTCCCGCGTGCATCCATAACTAAATAGTGTACACTGTGGTGTTTGCCATTTGTTAAATTGAGAATGACAAGACTTTTGCCACCCATTGTAGAATCTGTCAGTAAATTGCAATAAATTAATTGCAATATATTATTTTTCCTTCAACCGAAACATTTTACGTGCTTTGCGAAAACTGTTTATATTACTTCATTTTTGAAAGTAATCACACCAGCCTTTTTCTTGTGTTCTTCAGGTATCAGGCCTGGCTGTTTCAATGTTAGCTACGTTGATAAACAAGTTCTTCCTGGAGCCTAAAACCACAGCTATGATGCTAAAAAGGTACGCTTACGAGAAGGAGCACGGATATGGTGACGACATTGGGCCCATCAAAGATAAGGCCTTCAAGACGGATGAAACTTACTTGAGGATGACCCATGAGTTCAGTATGGCCCATGGCTTTACAGCAATGACAAATATTCTAGCATATACTGGCAGTATTCTACATGTGTGGCTCCTGGCCAAAAATGAAGTTTTGGTAATTTAAAACATTTTCTCTGCCACAAATTGGAGTCAAAATTGGCTAATTTTTAAAGAAGCAAATTCTAGGAATCTTGGTTGCGAAGTCAGACACTGTATTTTTTCTAATTGATCACACCATAAGATATGTCTATGAAATGGTTTTAACTTGTAGCGTGTTTAGCGCATGTTGAGATAAACGTGCGCAAGTACACGAGCCCATAACAACGTAACGTAGCGGTCAAACGTCGAGCATGTGCTAGGGCATTAATTCTGGCCACCGACAGCTACTTTCCCGCGCAAAATTTTAAAGGAAAACTTAAGAAACAGCTGCTACCTGGCAAATAAGCGAAGAAAATTAAAACATTCATAGAAGTCTGTTAAATTCAGAAGTGAGCAATTATTCACCGATTCTACTATTTATTCTGGTTTAGAGATATTGAGGAACTCATTCTCTTTTTTTTTTCTCTTTTCAATTTTTCTATGTCGAATACTTAAGCTGCTTCGTAAGGGTATTGAGGAATTTATTTTAAATATCATTTCTCTTTTTAATTAACTAAATTTATCGGGTATGCAATGAATATTTAAATATATAAAATATTTAAATAGTATGCTTTTTCGGAAATTTATTTCAAAACTCATGCCATGCCTTGAAACGATTTTCATTTATCACTTCCTTGACAACGCAGCCAAGAATCTGGACCTTGGTTGAGCTTTGGAATGTTATTAGTAATAATATAGTAAAGAAAACTTATAGAGGCTAGCTCAAGAGCGTCACTGTCCCTCGATAGGTCTATCCTCTAGGCTTCAATAATGATTAAACTGGGCTTCTTGTAATTTTAATTTCGCCTGTTAACTATAGATTATTTTCTTATTTATTTCCAATTCCATTTTTGTGAGACTTTCCTTTCACACAACACAAGTGTCCAAAATCTGAGATCGGCCATTAGTGTCCAAAACCGCAAAGCCACATGCAGTGTGAACTGCCTGTTTTCATTGGTATTCACCCGCTGTTTTGCTCCGGTGACCGACGTTAGCTCAGCAAAAATTTTTCCGTAAGCGGCTATGAAGAAAAGGAAACGCGTCCAAGTTATTTTGTGGAAATTTATTCATCTTCATTTTGAAACATTAAAATTAATGTTTCAAAATGTTAAAAGTCTAGAACTGTTAAAATCTCAAGATGGAAATTATTCTTCTTACTGGCTTTTTTTTTTCCTTTTCCTTTTACCGGAAGTTATCCAAGGTTAAAAACATCTTTTTCAGCCATTTTGTGGCCGGTAATAAAAGAAATATATTTCACTCGAGCTTATTGGAAAGCATGCAATTAGATTTACTAGATCCGCTATCTTGTCTCGAATACACTTTCTCTTGCGGCCAGCAATTGCCTTTGAAGCCAGGCAGAGACCACGTTTATGACTTCAGCGAAGCTTGGGTCACGTTCCTCCTGTCCGTTACCAAACAACGGATGTCGTTTTCTAGCGTCAGTTTACATAATATAGAAATACAAACGACGCGGGGGAAATTAGAGACATCAATTAAAAAACGATATCTTCGCAAACTGTCAATCAATTTGCACTTGCTGGCACTTGGTGTGAGCATCTTCAATGTTCTGAGCTGTGCTTGTTTTTTTTTTTTGTCCAAGTCTCTAATCATAGGTAGACGGCGCTGTCTTTTCCGTGCAATTTAAAATTTCCCTGTAGCCTTCGATGAAAAAACAGGAATTGACAACAAATAGATTTCACCTTCGAAGTTGCTTTTTTGTTGTCGTATACATGTCTTACAAATATTCATGGATAAAAAAAAAAAATGGAATTTGAAGTTTGCCTTAACCTGTTTTTAACTCGTGATCAGACGTTCTTTTTTTTCGAAGAGGGCGAAATATGCTCATGCTTCTTTCGATTACAAGTGGAAAAATGGTGGCTTTTTTTTAAAGTAAAATGAAACTATTCGAAATTTGTTCAAGCCCCCCCAGGCGCCAGAGAAGAGAGAAGACATAACAAAATGGCTTGCTTTTGTAAAGACTGCGACTGAAATTAAGAAAGAAAAGAAGAAAATAACTACCACAAAATATGAAAAATGTATTTTTAAAAGCGCGTTAATGTCCGTTTCTAAGGCGCAATACACCTAATAACAAATACGTTGTCAACAAAACAAAATGCCAAAAGGAAAAAATGAAAGGGAAAAAGCTAAAACGAAGTGTCATTTTCTTCTTAGGATTTGAGCAATTCTAAACCATGGGCTTAAAACTGTGAAATGATTTTATGTAAAATAACTCAAGCGCTCTGCCTTTCCTTTTTTTTCCATATCTATCGAAATATATACAGATGGGAAACAAAAACGCAACTTTCCCTACATTTAAGTGATTCTCATCTACTTTTTATTTCTGTCTTCCATTTTCTCTTTGCATGTAATTGCTTTGTTAACCTCGCTAATTAATCCTTTGATCCCTGAGAGTGATCAGCATCTAATTTCTCCTTACAATATCACCCCTGAATCACACATTAAGATATTGAGAATAAGAAAATTGATCACCAACTTCTTTGCTCTTGAGTGTTAAACAAAATCTCCTTGTCAGCACCTTAGGAAATGTATTGAGAACAGTATGGAGAATATGCAGACTGATGTTACGGTGGAAAGTGTTAAAATTGTGGGATCATTTTATCCAGTGATGTAGCTTTTTTTTCTTCAATATAACGCGTTATTTAACCACGTTTAGTTTCGTGTCACAGTTTAGTTTCACGAATGAGAGGTAATTAAAGTCATTAGTCCAAGAACAGCTGTTTAAGCCCGCCTTTAAATAGCAATTAGATGAGATAATGAATGGGTAATTACCTATATCATATAGCCAGTCAGACGTAAAGAAATTGGGCCGAACTTCCGAACTTTCAATCTTTAATTAAAGGATCATTTCATCCATTAACACATCCTTTTACGGCATGCGGTTATCTTATTTCACCAGCTGAACAGAATTTAAATACTGAAAGAAAAATCCAAATTCATTTGTGGGAGTAGGCTGTTAGCGGTAAGAGAGGACAGACAGAAAGTTCTTTGGGAAAAGGTTTCCAGTTTAAACATGATTTTCAGATCACTTTTCCTCCTCTGTTCATGCTGGGTGATTTTTGTGCAAACACGCCCAAAGGGTAAGTTGTCATATTTAGTAAAAAATGCATGTCTTCCTACCAAAAAAATTTTCAAGTTCAGGCTTGTTTCATGAATGAATAATGGTAAAGCGTAACTCTATTAATATGCAGAATCCAAAATTCTTTTTGAATAACAAAAAGGGTTCTTAGAGGTGTTTGTGGGCAGCTGGTCATCTTTTTCCCTTGAATGAATTTCCCTTATTATAGTCCAAATTATAAGGGTGTTTTGATAAACTTAAAAGAAGTGTCAGTAAACTTCATCCTCTTGGCGGGTGAAAAAAGGGTAAGTTTTCTTATCAAAATGAAAATGCAGAAAATTCGACTTTGCAAAGAATAAAATCAGATTAAACACGTAAATTAAAGTCTTAGACAGGTAAAAACGAACGATATAATATCCCGACGATTCTATCCGTGCTAAAGTATTTGTGTAGCTACCTCCCCTATGCAAATTAGTTGTAACTCTTGAACTCGCATTAGTTAATTTTATTTTCATTCGTACCCTTGATAATGGCGTCATGAAGTCGCCGAAACGTCGGGATATTATATCGTTCGTTTTTACCTGTCTATGTATTACTAAATCTTTGTTAATACAAATTAAAGTCTATACTCTGCAGGGTTAGGCATGGTTTCAGCTTTCACTATTTACCATGACAAGCACCGTAGCAAAACCAGTTTCTGTTAATGTATTCGGTTCAGCCAACGCTCTAGACTCGAATCAAACCCGTACCCGAGAAAAAAGAAACTTGAGAGACAACGTAATATTTTGGGGCGAGCGTGCGTCCAAAGAAACTGAGGCCCAGCGGAAATGTTTACAAATGAAAGTATTAGATTGTGGTAGTACTGACAGATCTTGATGCTGCGTGATCAATAGGTTTGATAGAAGCGGGTCGTGATCGCCGATTACTTTTCAAGAAAAAAAAAAAAACACATCTTTGGCAAAAATAACTGAAAATTGAAATTGGCGCCTAATAAATTGTGATTTTACCCAATCAGGTGTGAGCACATTTTTTTGAAAATGAAAACGTTATAATTTCGTGACCAACGCGATTATCAGCACGTGTTTGTACACAATGCAAGTAATTACACCCTCTTGAAAATATTCAATTCTGCAATTCAACGTCTAAAGCAATAGAGAACCAAGAGATTGGATAAGTACCAAGACAATTTAGCCAGTACAAGTTTTTCTAAGTATCTTTGGATCATGCAACAAATAATGCGGTCAAACACGACGTAAATTTTTAATCAGGCTTTTTGCCATCTCTTTTTGATGGACGTCCAAATTTCCTGCTGCTATTTTCGGTTTGATTGACACAGTTGCCCATCGGGTTGTGACATGATCATTGAACCGTTAAAAATCAATTGGCGATAATTTTGAATTAAGCCGACTCGACATGCTCATTTGCAAGTGAGCCACTTGCTCTGATAACGGTTCCTTTGATAATCGAGGATAATGAAGCTTAGCTCGCTATATGTCTTGTGTTTCGGCTTGAGTTTGGTGGAAACTCGACCGTTTGGTAAGTCGTTAGGTCTTAGTTTCCTTTTCAACGAGGACACTTATTTTAAAAGAAGTTTGACATTTTTGTCAAGTTTTCAAACAAGTAATCATTAACTGCTGTGATCCACATAAAGGAGTATTCAGCACTAAAGATCAGAAATTGAAAGTCGTGTGCAAAGGAATATTTAAGCAAGTAAATGACTCAGACCAATCAGATTAGCTGGATTTCGCCACTTCCATGTTATTTGAACCACTAGTATTTGGCCTCGGGCAAAGAATTTGCAAGTAAAATCATTCCTGATAGATATACAAAGTACACATGTCATGCTTTAGCCGCAATATTTTGAATATATTCGTCGTTATGTCGTCTCGACATTTTGGAGCGCTTTTGAGCGCCAGATATTTGGGTTGAACTAAAGAAAAACAAAAAAACAAGAAAAACAATCCACTTCGAACATGAATATACACCAGAGACAATATCTGGCATACGTAATGATTTACAATTTTTTCAAAAAGTATTTCATCTGATCATGTATGACGTAATTAGGGACTAGTTATTATTCATCACCCGAGGGCGGAGGGGGGGGACGTTTTAAGTCTCCTCTTTATACTCTGTTGGCGACTGCTCCTCGCCGATCCTTTCCCTCAAAA